TTGATACCTTAAATGACTGCTTCTTGGAAAACCTTATCCTGGAACCCACAAGAGGAGAGGCAATTCTTGATTAGTCCTAAGTGGAGCACAGGATCTGGTCCAAGAGCTGAATATAGCTGGACTGCTTGGTAATAGTGACCATAATAGAATTAAATTTAACATCCCTGTGGCAGGGAAGACACCACAGTGGCCCAACACTGTAGCATTTAATTTCAGAAAGGGGGACTACATAGAAATGAGGAAGTTAGTTAAAGAGAAATTAAAAGGTACGGTGCCAAAAGTGAAATCCCTGCAAGCTGTATGGAAACTTTTTAAAGGCACCATAATAGAGACTCAACTTAAATGTATACCCCAAATTAAAAAACATTGTAAGAGAACCAAAAAAGTGGCACCGTGGCTAAACAGTGAGAGACAAAAAGGCATCCTTTAAAAGTGGAAGTTAAATCCTTGTGAGGAAAATAGAAAGGCGCATAAACTCTGGCAAAAGTGTAAAAATATAATTAGAAGGCCAAAAAAGAATTTGAAGAACAGCTAGCCAAAAGTAATAGCAAAGTTTTTTTAAGTACATCAGAAGCAGGAAGCTTGCTAAACAACCAGTGGGGCCACTGGATGATTGAGAGGCTAAAGGAGCTTTCAAGGACAATAAGGCCATTGCGGAGAAACTAAATGAATTCTTTGCATCAGTCTTCATGACTGAGGATGTGAGGGAGATTCTCAAACCTCTGAAGGAACTCAAATGTGAAACTGCAGAACTACTAACTGTGGTTTGTAACCTATAATTTAAATCAGCTTCTGTACCAAATGACTGGAGGATAGCTAATGTGATGCCAATTTTTAAAAAGGGCTCCAGAGGTGATCCATGCAATTACAGTACCTGACTTCAGCACTGGGCAAACTGGTTGAAACTATAGAAAGAACAAAATTTTCAGACATACAGATAAACAAAGATTATTGGGGAAGAGTCAACATGTTTTTTGTAAAGGGAAATCATGCCTCACCAATCTACTAGAATTCTTTTACGGGGTCAACAAGCATGTGGACAAGGGGGATCCAGTTGATATAGTGTACTTAGATTTTCAGAACGCCTTTGACAAGGCTCAATGAAGGCTCTTAAAGCAAAGTAAGTTGTCAGAGGATAAGAGGGAAGGTCCTCTCATGGATTGGTAACTGGTTAAAAGATAGGAAACAAAGGGTAGGTATAAATCAGTTTACTTTCTGCCGCCTACCAGCTCCCCGCGGCCCCCTTGCCCCCACAGCATTTACCTAGAACGGCTCTGGCCCGGTGCATATCGGGGCAGGGCAGGCTCCCTCCTTGCCTGCCTGCCCTGCCCCCACACCGCTCCAGGAAGCAGCCGGAACCTGTGTGGCGGGGGGCACAGTTTCCTGTTCCCGGCCAATGGAAGCTTCGGGGGAGGTACCTGGAGGCACGGCCAGGGCAACACACAGACCCCTGTGCCCCACCCCCCCAGGTCCCGGCCGCTTCCTAGAGCCGCACGGAGGCAGGGCAGGCAGGCAGGGAGCCTGCCCTGCCCGCAGTGTGCGCTGTCTGGCCCCTTCCCCCGAACTCCTCCTGCAGCCAAACCTCTTGCCCTGAGCCCCCTGCTGCACCCTGCACCCCGACCCCCTGCCCTAAGCCCCCTGCCGCACCCCACACCCTTCCTGCACCCTGACCCCCTGCACTGAGCCCCCTGCCACACCACAACCCTCTGCTCTGAGCCCCTTGCTGCACACCGCACTCCAACCCCCTGCCCTGAGCCCCCTGACGCACCCTGCACACCTCCTGCACCCCCTGGGGGCAGGGAGGGAGCGGAGTTTGGGTGGGGATTTCGGGGGAGGGGTTGGAATGGGGGCAGGGAAGGGGTGGGAAGAGGTGGGGCAGGGGCGGGGCCTCACGGAAGGGGTGGAGTGGGGGCGGGGCCAGGGCAGCAGGTGAGGGGGTGGTCAGTGGTGCGGCCCTTGGGCCAATGTACTAGTCCTCATGTGGCCCTCGTGGTCGTTTGACTTTGGGACCCCTCGTATAAATGCTCAGTTTTCAGAATGGAGAGAGGTAAATAATGGTGTCTCCCAGGTATCTGTACTGGGACCAGTCCTATTCAACATATTCATAAATGATCTGAAAAAAGGGGTAAACAGTGAGGTGGCAAAATTTGCAGATGATACAAAACTACTCAAGATAGTTAAGTCCCAGGCAGCCTGTGAAGAGCTACAACAGGATCTCCCAAAACTGGATAACGGGGCAACAAAATGGCCGATGAAATTCAGTGTTGATAAATGCAAAGTAATGCACATTGGAAAGCATAATCCCAGCTATACATATAAAATGTGGGGTCTAAATTAGCTGTTATTACTCAAGAAAGAGATCTCGGAGTCATTGTGGATAGTTCTCTGAAAACATTCACACAATGTGCAGCAGCAGTCAAAAAAGTGAACTGAATGTTGGGAATCATTAGGAAAGGAATAGATAATAAGACAGAAAATATCATATTGCCGCTATATAAATCCATAGTATGCCCACATCTTGAATACTGCATGCAGATGTGGTTGTCCCATCTCAAAAAAGATACACTGGAATTGGAAAAGGTTCAGAAAAGGGCAACAAAAATGATTAAGGATATGGAAAGGCTGCCATATGAGGAGAAATTAATAAAACTGGGACTTTTCAGCTTGGAAAAGATACAACTAAGAGGGGATATGATAGAGATCTATAAAATCATGACTGGTGTAGAGAAAGTAAATAAGGAAGTGTTATTTACTCCTTCTTATATCACAAGGACTAGGGGTCATCAAATGAAATTAATAGGCAGCAGGTTTAAAACAAACAAAAGGAAGTATTTTTCACACAACGCACAGTCAACCTGGGGAAATCTTTGCCAGAGCATGTTGTGAAGGCCAAGACTACGACAGGGTTCAAAAAAAGAACTAGATAAATTCATGGAGGGTAGGTCCATCAATAGCTATTAGCTAGGATGGGCAGGGATGGTGTCCCTAGCCTCTGTTTGCCAGAAGCTGGGAATGGGCAACAGTTCTATTAATTCCCTCTGGGGCACCTGGTATTGGCCACTGTCAGAAGACAGGATACTGGGCTAAATGGACCTTTGGTCTGACCCAGTATGACCGTTCTTGTGTTCATATTTGATGCTTTAGATTGATTTGCTGTACTGAGAATTTCTGGTGTTGCAAGAAACTCTTTCCAGTGGACTCTGAAAATCTTCCACATCCATTTACTTTAGAATGAAGTGATCTTCTTATCAGTTTCAGGAGTAGATTTCTGTGACTCTACTCCATAAAAGAGTACAGACATGATGCTGGAGTTAAACGTTCATATTTTTGAGTCAGTGCCAATCGTGCTACTTTTCCAGATCTTTTCAGTTTTATGTATGTTGTTTGCTGCTTTTGATATTTGTTGCTTGATATCTAGCCTGGTGTCACCATCATTGCACATCTCACTCCCTCAATATACATCAATAATACAGAAGAAGTACAGGTTATTATCAATGTACTCTTGTATTATATTCCCATGGAAACACATTTCTTTTGATGCTAGTCAAGGCACACACAAGTTCTTTTGTGCATAAATTCTCCTTACTATGAGTACTGCCAAGTTAGCTGCATCTTTCTTGATGGATTTCAGACACGCCAGCACATTGGTACCTTTATCATAAGATCTCTGGCTTCGATTTGAAAGAGTACACAGTTTCCAATAAGATTTACCCAGTTGTCCACAGAGAGGGCCTGCTCTGTTTTCCTAATGAACAAGGCTCATTTACAAGCAAAAGTCATAAGATATAACAAGCAGATAAAAAGTCTATAAACTGGAATTTCTGAACACCACTATACCCAAGTGAAAGAAAATTGGACATAGTAATAGTTTAAATTTAAAATATTATTTACAGATCCAAGACCAAACTATTTGAATTACTGGGAACTCTCAGTATGCATGACAGAAAAATTTTTGTGAGCATTTGAAGCATTGACTTAGACAGGCTCATGACATTAATTGTACACACTAGAAAAAAAGAAGTCCTAGGTGTAAAGAAAGGAGCTATTTCTGGGGAAAGTAAATATTTAATAAAGACAAGCTATACACTATTGAACATGTGTATCTATGTTATCATAATTGCATTTCCATGGAGGACTTCAGTCATCACAACAATAAAATTGAGGCCCAACATTCCTTTAAAGAAACTCAAACAAAAACAACCAAACAACCAACCAACAAAACAAACAAAGGTATGAGGAATGAGGTTTCTATTTATTGGGATGTGGTCATTTTCATTTTCTAATAGGCAAAAAGGCCTGCCACACTTGTACTTTGTGAAGTAAGGAGTGGTCATACATTATGTGCCCTTGGTTGTGCACTGATCTAGAGATGAGTCCCAACCAAAACCCTTGTTAGAGTTGTGTAGCTGAAGTCCCTCTCTACAATAGTCATAAAATGAAAATCTGAACATGGTGTACTCTGGCAAAGTTTAGAGTCAGATGCAAGCCACACACTCAGAAGTGCAGAAATTTGGAAATTTGACTGGTACCCATATATTTGTTGGACTAATAAAGCCATGGCACATCAGGCCTTCTTCCATCATTGCCAAGCTAAACCACACGCTGTAGCGATGCCATTTGTTTGTGCTCAGCGCTACGCCACATGTGCAGCAGGCTGCATGCGCCCTGTGCATGCCATACCCTGCATTGCATCTGTCATCCCACAACTTGCACACCCCCCTCATGTCAGTGGGTGCTACTTTCTCTGTGCCTCGTGTCCTGCTCTGTGCCTGACAGTAGCCCCCTGCATGCCCCGGGCGCCCTGTACCCCCTGTGTGCCAGCCAGTCCCTCGCCCCCTGCCGGCCCCTCGTGTGCCCGGGACTGTGCCCTCAGGCGCTGCGCCGTGCGCTCTCTCCGCGCCCCCTCCGGCCCAAGCGTGACGCTGCCGCCTATTGGCTGGGCGGGGCGCCCGGCTCTCAGCACCCGGGACAGCACCAAGCGCCCCAGGGGCGGCAAGGGGGCGGGGCCTGTGCGTGTTGCTAGGGCGACGGCGCGCGCCTCCTTCTGTTTGGGCCGGCGGTTCCCATGGTGACGGGAACGCCGCCGCGGGGCCCGGCCGGAGCATGTCGGACCTGGGCTCGGAGGAGTTCGAGGAGGAGGCGGAGAACGACTTGGGGGTCAGTGCGGGCCGCGGCCCCTCCGGCTCCTCCGGGACCCGGCGCCGCCTCTCCCCCCTCGCCCCCGCGCTGGTCTGGGGCCGCCCCCGCCGCGCGGCACCGGCCCCGCGCCCCACCCGGCCGGGCGCCGCGTCACCCGCCCCTGCCTGGGGCTCGGCCGCCCCGTAGAGCCCGCGCGGCGCTGGGCAGCCTGGTGGAGAAGAGCCGGCCCCCGCTAGCCCCGGGCTGCCCTTCACTGCCACCCAGGCCCTGCCTGGCTCCCCTGCTCACCGGGGTGCCTGGGTGGAGGAGGGGCGGGGGCTGGTTGTGGGTCTGTGCGCCAAGAGAGGGTTGAAGGGTGACTTGGTCATAGTCCGTCAGCGTCCTCCTGGGGAACAAATAGGTAATAATGAGCTCTTCAGTCTAGCAGAGACAGGCATAGCACGGTCCAGCGGCTGAAAGTTGTATCTAGAGACGTTCAGGCGGGAAATAAGGCATGCATTTTTTTAACAGCCAAGCAATTAACCATTGGAACAACTTACAAAGGGTCCTGGTGGATTCTCCATCACTGACCATTTTAAAATCAAGATAGGATGTTTTTCTAAAAGATCTACTCTGGGATTTATTTGGGAGAAGTTTTATGGCTGTGCTATAGGGAGGTCAGACAAGATGATCATAATGGTCCCTTTGAATCTATAAACCCTTTTTCCCGGGCACAGCCCCAGTCTATAAGTATGTAGACTATTAATGAAAAAGGACCCATTAGACACAAAGCTTTAGTTTTGTCACACCTAAAAGAACTGAATTTGTAATTACTGTTACATATTTTAAGGGTCAATCATGCTCTAATCAAAGTTAACAGAAGGCTTGCCACTCATGTCAGGCAGAGTAGGAGCAGAGCCATGGACTAGGATCACACAGAATTTTGGATTTGTAGTATTAAAGTATGGAGAAACTAAAAAAAAATAATTAATCACTGTTATGTTGGGATTCTCAAAGTCATGAGATGTGTTTCTCAAACAAAATGTTTTTTAAAATAAGAAATAATCTTATAAATACAATGATGTCTTTAGTAGCTATGTTCTGTTGGAGTCTATACATTAGTGATACTCAGCTTCGAAGAGTTGCTAAGCTACTGTATTCTATGGAGTTGTAGAGATAAAAAGGACTTGAGTGAAGTCCTGCCATTTTACTATGGTATTTAGTGTCTGTTTCAACTTAGTGCTGTTTAAGTAGCAAGAATCCAGCCCCCAACAAATTTCAGTAGTTTGCAGGCAGAAGACACCTTTGGGTACCAGGTGGGGTCTGGTGGCTTAGTGCAAGATACTCACCACAGTTACCAATAGATTTCTTGGCCAGGTGCCTTCCTGGGACTCAGGAAGAAAAGGAGCTGTTCAGGACAAACAATTGGTTTCCTCTTTGTACTCATATTGGATTCAGTTTAGAACCCCTGCCTCTTAAACTGCTGAATGGCTTATTCCATTTAATCAGGAATATGAAGGTGAACGCAATGCAGCAGGTGAACGACATGGACATGGAAGAGCACGATTACCCAATGGTGATACATATGAAGGAGAGTATGCCAATGGTCTGAGAAATGGGCGGGTAAGATAATTATAGAGGATTATTTTGAAAGCCATGCGTGTGTTTCAGCAGTTCCATTAGTTTAGGCACTTCATTATCCTTTTAATTCAAAGTACTATATCTATACCAAATATATTGCAGGGGACCTACAGATTTAAAAATGGTGCTCGCTACATTGGAGAATTCTTTGAGAACAAAAAGCATGGTCAAGGCATTTTTATGTATCCAGATGGATCAAAATATGAAGGTAAAATGTGCATCTTTTGTTGTTGAACATAATTATGAAGGTTTAAATATTTGAGAAGATGAGGTGCTTCAGTGGAATTATGGGAAACAATGAGCTGGGCAGCATATTATTACCTCAATCCACAAAATTATCCCAAAATTCATTTTTCCCTCTTCATTCCTGCCTCACCACGGATGTTAGGAGAAGAGTGGATTGAACTTTTTGGCAACAGTTTATTCCTGCCAAATCATCTGATCAAGTGGAATGCTTCATTATATTTAGTGCTGAGCAAATTCTTTGCATTCTTAGTTAGAATCAGAGTAGAAGAGAGTATAATTTATGTTAAAAACAACCCAAGAACATCACAAGAATATTCATTGACGTGTAGTGATTATGCTGACAGACAGTCAAGTTCAGTCCAGAACATTTTCAGATCCTTTCAAAGAGCTATAGGTTCTGAGCATTGTAAAAAATAGGATTCAGTTCTCCAATGCATCCAAGCAAAGCAGCAGAGAGTGGAGGCTAACGAGAAGCTAATCACAGCTCACCGTTTCTCAGCCACCCACAGTTGGTGTAAATTAAAACTTCAGGAAGGCAGTTTTAATTTACCCTGTTGGCAGAGAATTCATCTCCTGTTTTTCCTGGACATGGCTCACTCCTCAGACTTGTCTCCATCCCCGTATACCAAATGGAATACTGTCAGCAGAACTACTGTAAGATGTGGCAGAACCAGTGGTGCAGGTAAAATCCATTTCTTACTGGTACGGTGGGGCAGCAGCTAAAAGGTGGGGGGGCATGTGATCTCCCCACGTGACACCTCCATGTGACTCCTCCTGGCCCTGCCCCCAGCCCGGGGCCCCATGCTCTCCCCATCCCCTCCCCATGATCCACCCATGTTACCTGTGAAGGGAGTGCTCTGTCCTCCTTCTGTTGTGCCAGAGACTTCAGGAAAGGAGGAGAATGTGGGGTTGCTGGGCAGCCCCATGCCGGCAGCTCCTCCGGCGCGGCTGCTGTACCACCCACAGCCTGGCTGCCCAGTTCTGTCCTCTGGCAGGGCTGCTGTACCGCCCCCAGCCTCTCCCCCAGTCCTATTCTCCGACAGGGCTGCTGTACCACCCACAGCCACGGTACAGCCACACCAGAGAAGAGCCATGGGGCCACCGGCTCCTCCTGTGTCTTTCCGGTACACCATAGCAGTTATAAATACCTTGCTGGTGTGGCATACTGGAGCGTACTGGCCTATTTGCACGGCTGGGCAGAACTCTACACCGGCAGAGATTTCCCCAGAATTTTCCAAGGGGAATCTGTGGCCAGAGAGCTTAGACTTAAGAATCGAGCCTTTAAAGCTTACTTTAAAAAAATGTTTTTACCCTTTGGGAGAACATTTATTTATTTATTTATCATTATTGGTGAGATTGCCAACAGCAGGGGAGGAGTCCATATATATATCTGCACCTATCTTCAATATGATAGCAAGCCCCGCAGGGCGTATATATATATATATATATATATATATGAGTTAACACCAAGTGACCCACTATCTATCTGTGGACAATCAGTAAATACTCCGTGGTCCACAATTTGAGACACTATGATTAATATCCTAATGCAGCTTCTACTTCTGGGAGTAGCAAGAGTCTTTTCCCTCCTCTGTATACCTCTATAAGTATGCAGTGCAGAAGAAGTGAGAGATCCAGGAGAAGAAAGCTTTATATATTATAGGTAGATAAGAAATCTGCTGCTTAGTAGAAGCACCCCCACCAAATGTAGGCATTATATCTGACTTTAGCCTAACCAAAAGAAGGCTGAGAGGAGATATGATTGCTCTCTATAAATATATCAGAGAGATAAATACCACGGAGGGAGAAGAAGTATTTAAGCTCAGTACCGATGTGGACACAAGAACAAATGGATATAAACTGGCCATCAGGAAGTTTAGACTTGAAATTAGATGAAGGTTTCTAACCATCAGAGGAGTGAAGTCCTGGAACAGCCTTCCAAGGGAAGCAGTGGGGACAAAAGACATATCCGGCTTCAAGATCAAGCTTGATATGTTTATGGAAGGGATGATATGATGGGATAGCCTAATTCTGGCAATTAATTGATCTTCAACTATTAGCGGTAGATATGCCCAGTGGCCTGTGATGGGATGTTAGATGGAGTGGGATCTGAGTTACTACAGAGAATTTTTTCCTTGATGTCTGGCTGGTGAGTCTTGCCCACATGCTCAGGGTTTAGCTGATCACCATATTTGGGGTCGGGAAGGAATTTTGCTCCAGGGCAGATTGGCAGAGGCCCTGGAGGGGTTTCACCTTCCTCTGCAGTGTGAGGCACGGGTCACTTGCTGGAGGATTCTCTGCACCTTGAAGTCTTTAAACCACGATTTGAAGACTTCAGTAGCTCAGACATAGGTCAGGGGTTTGTTACAGAAGTGGGTGGGTGAGATTCTGTGGCCTGCGTTGTGCAGGAGGTCAGACTAGACAATCATAATGGTCCCTTCTGACCTTAAAATCTATGATTCTATGACTTGTGATTAAGCATTCACCAGGGAGCATCACTCATGGATCCATCAGAACATGGATTGGAAGGCATGGGAAGATTAGATTTACACTGATGCATCTTGCAGTGCAGAAGAAATGGATGCTGTCAGCAGAAGTGCAAGAAAGAATTAAGTGACTTGCACAGACATAAGTTAAATTAATTTATTTGTGGCAGTGTCTTTTGGCCTGATTCATGTACTGGGAAAGCTATGCTGGATTGTTTGCTCACTGAGGAGCAATTACTTAAGCACTACCTCATGGTTTGCTTTCTGAGGCTAAAATACTCCTAAAATGAGGTCAGACTATATTTTACTAGTGCAGTCTTTGTTTTATATTTCCCCCTCTAAGGAAAGAAGTCTTCACTGATGTCATTGTGACTCCCTTACTTTCTGTCTGCACCTATCTTTAATATGATAGCAACCCCCACAAAAAAACAACCATAAAACTAAGTTATATAGGCCCAATCCACAAAGTTATTTAGCCTCCTCACATCCACTGAAATCAATGGCATTCCATTGAAATTAACATGTGCCAGCAGTTCTTCTTCCATCCCCATATGCTCTTTTAGACTTCTTTTACAGCATTATTTAATATAGCTTGATTTAGATCTTTGCCCTGAACAGAATTCTCAGGATTAATCTGAAGGGTCACTACAATCTTCTACAAATAACAGATTTTAAGAATGCGGTTTCTTCCTTTGTGGTAGCAATGTCTAGGAAATGCAACAGTTTAAGCAAGATACTTAAAGAGTCTCATAAGACAGAAGAACAGCATATCATTAGTCCAGCTCCTGAAATTGAAGCTCATACAGAATATTTCCCCACATTTTAGTACTAGGAATGACTGATTCAATCTGATTTTCTTCACTGTCTTCCCTGAAATATGAGACAGATAAGTCAGACTCCAGCTGCTTCATTAACCATCTTCAGAGAGTTCCTTTCCAGGATGACATTTAATGTGAGGACTAATGCTGTCTCTGCAAAACATCAGGAGGTTGATCTGATTGTTGAAAAAAATGAATAAAAAATGTCAACAGAGTAATGCTGTACACTATACCATCAGCTTTGAAAGAGGAGGTCAGAACCAAAGACAAAGTTTTTAAATTTAAGTGCTTAATTTAAGGCACCCACATCCATATTTATGCCCCTAAATGAGTGAACAGATTTTCAGATGTTCTGAGCCACCCACCTCCTGTTGCACAGTATCTGAAAATCAGAAAGCTCAGTTACTGGTTTTGGCTTAGGTTCTTTAGAACCTGTTAAAAGATTATTTCAGCTACAGTATAAGACACTCTGAAATAGTCCCACCCTATCATCCTTTCGTCTGATGTGCGTAAATTCTCTCAGATCTTAAAGGTGACCTGGAAAGAAAAATAATTTGCCTTGTGCTGTCTTTTTTTGCTGCTTTGCGATGTGCAAAGGCGGCCTGAAAGGTAGGGGTTTTGCCCTGTGTTAGAAATTTAAATCTTGTGAAGGCCAGGAGACTATATTTACTGGAGAGTTAGTGAAATGGTGATAATCTAAAGTGTTAGTACAGTGAACGTTGTCTGAGTTTACATTTTCAAATACTGTATATTCTTCATTCACATAAAAAGTCGACTACATGTCTAGATGATCATTCTAAAGGCTGACTTCTGTGACAAGTAAAATTTATCACATCTCACTCTGTTTTTATCATGTCCATTGCAGGAGAATGGGTAGCAGACCAAAGACATGGCAATGGAATTTACTACTACGTGAATGGAGACACCTACACTGGAGAATGGCTTAGCCACTATAGGTTTGTTTCATTATTATAGTGAACTTTCAAGTTTCTTGATGAAGTAAAAAAAACATTGTCTTCAGAGTTGTGGATGTCCTTTTGAAAGAGAGAGCTGTGGGAGGGCCTTAGTAACCAAATCCAGTTTGGAATGGGAGGAAAGCCTGCAGTAAGACATCAGCTGATTTAAATAGAGCCAGACACAGAAGGCAGATGAGCATGAATGTATGAAGAAGATGTTATTGGTGTTGGAAATATGGGCTAATGTGGCATTTATTTTAGTCATATGTTTAATGCAATAAAATTGCAAAGAAATCCTGCATTGTTAATTTACAGTAATATAAAGTAAAATTATTATTTGCTTCTCAGGCATGGGCAAGGTACATATCTCTATGCAGAGACTGGCTCTAAATATGTTGGTGGCTGGGTAAATGGGCAACAGGAAGGAGCAGCTGAACTTATTCATCTAAAGCACAGATACCAGGGCAAGTTTGTAAATGGAAATGTAAGTACTGTATGTTGGAAAATGCTATTTGAATTTGAAAAACTAGCAAATGTTGTTGTTTTGGTATGTACTGTTTACATTGAAAAATTAAACCAGGTTCCCCATTTTTCACAGTATTCTTTGAACCATAAATGTAACAGATGTAAATGAATCAATGAGGATGCAAAGTTTCTCCAAAGTTTAGTTTTCTCATTGCATTTTTATTTAATATTGTGTCAACTACATAGTACAGTGTTAAGTGATCTTTTGTATTTTTCATTTACTCCTTCAGAGTTTGCTAGCTTCAAAGTCTTGCTAACTTTTTGTTTCTCTTTTACAGCCGATAGGTCGTGGAAAGTATGTCTTCGATATTGGGTGTGAACAGCATGGTGAATACACACATCTAGACCAGGTAAATAATATAATACAGACTATACCAAATGTTAGAAAACTTACCAATTCAGTTCAGCCTGTTCAAGTGTGGCCTGCCTAGCTCATTACAGGTGCTGTATATTTTAAAAGTCCAACAGCTTTAGTATGTGCTTTTCTAAGCACCAAAGTCAAAAAATCTTGTCTGGCTACTGTGCTGTGCAAGCCCTGACATATGAAGGCCCCATTGCTGCTCTCATTGCAGACACTAGACATTTTGCCATTGATTTCAGTGAAAGCAGGATCATACCTTGCTAGCCTTCTGCAATACAAAAAAGCCAGACAGAATTTTGATTGACTTTGACCTCCATTTTGAAGATGTCATGTCCGTGTACCAGATATGGACTGGCTTCAGAGCTTGCTTCAGGCCCTGTCAAGGTTCCTTCCCCACTCTGAACTCTAGGGTACAGATTTGGGGACCTGCATGAAAACCTCCTAAGCTTACTTTTACCAGCTTAGGTTAAAACTTCCCCAAGATACAAATTAAATTTTACCCTTTTCCCTTGGAATTTCCACTGCCACCACCAAACTTTAACTGGGTTTACTGGGAAACGTGGTTTGGACACGTCTTTCCCCCCAAAATCCTCCCAACCCTTGCACCCCACTTCCTGGGGAAGGTTTGGTAAAAATCCTCACCAATTTGCATAGGTGACCACAGACCCAAACCCTTGGATTTTAGAACAATGAAAAAGCATTCAGTTTTCTTACAAGAAGACTTTTAATAGAAGTAAAGGAATCACCTCTGTAAAATCAGGATGGTAGATACCTTACAGGGTAATTAGATTCGAAACATAGAGAATCCCTCTAGGCAAAACCTTAAGTTACAAAAAAGACACACAGACAGGGATAGTCATTCTATTCAGCACAGTTCTTTTCTCAGCCATTTAAAGAAATCATAATCTAACACATACCTAGCTAGATTACTTACAAAAAGTTTTAAGACTCCATTCCTGTTCTGTCCCTGGCAAAAGCAGCATACAGACAGACACAGGCCCTTTGTTTCTCTCCCTCCTCCCAGCTTTTGAAAGTATCTTGTCTCCTCACTGGTCATTTTGGTCAGGTGCCAGCGAGGTTACCTTTAGCTTCTTAACCCTTTACAGGTGAGAGGATTTTTCTTCTGGCCAGGAGGGATTTTAAAGGGGTTTACCCTTCCCTTTATATTTATGACAGGCCCTGTCCTCCTTCCTTCAGGGGTAGATGAAGAACCCCTACAGGGGCCCAGTGCGTTCCTGACCAAAAGAACCCCAGAATTGATGTCTGGAGGTTGGTCAGGAAACCCGGGGCTGGGACCAGGGTGTTGAGCGGGTACCAGAGCATGGATAGGACTAGTTGATTAAGCACCAGCGCTCTCCCTCGGGGGGAGAGACATTGGAGTAGTCCTGTCCATTTCCGGAGCCACTCTGTCACCCCGCCCTCTAAATTTTCCCAGTTCTCCGGCGGAGAGGGATGCGTGGCAGAAAGGTAAACGCCGAGGTAGAGCAGCGGACCCGCGCTCCACCGGATGGTCTGAAGTGCGGGTGGGAGGGAGCTCGCCTGCCACCAGTCTCCCACCACCAAGCCAGAGCTCTTGACCCAGTTGACCCGGGTGGAGGAGGCTGCCAAATAGATGGCCTGGCAAGCCTCCACCCGTGCCAAGTCGCCGGGGTCCTGGATCACGAGGAGCACGTCATCGGCATACGCCAACAGGACCAGCCACACCTCCGGCTACCGCAGTACCAATCCTGTCAACCTCCTGCGGAGGAGACAGAGGAAGGGCTCAATTGCCAGAGCGTACAGCTGGCCCGAGAGGGGGCACCCCTGCTGTACTCCTCGCCCGAAGCTGACCGGTTCAGTCAGAGTCCAGTTGAGCTTAACCAGACACTCTGCGGAAGCATACAGCACCCGGAGAAAACCCACGAACTGGGGTCCGAAGCCAAACGCCTGCAGAGTGCTCAGGAGGTACCCATGGTCCACCCTATCGAACGCCTTCTCCTGATGTAGGGACAGGAGGGCGAACAACAGACCGTCTCTACGCCCGAGTTCCAAAAGGTCCTGAACCAGAAATAGGTTATCAAAGATACTGCAGTCCAGGACGGTGTAGGTCTGGTCTGGGTGGATCACGTCCGCCAGCACAGACCCTAGCCACAGCGAGACTGCTTTCGCTATGATTTTGTAGTCTGTGCTGAGGAGCGAGACGAGACGCCAATTTCGTAAATCGCGGAGGTCCCCCTTCTTCGGCAATAAGGCGAGCATAGCTCGCCTGCACGAAAGAGGGAGGACCCCACTCTGCAGAGACTCGGCCCAGACGGTGACTAGGTCTGGGCTGAGGACGTCCCAAAACACGCGGTAGAACTCCACGGTCAGACCGTCCATGCCTGGAGACTTATTAGTGGGCATACGACGGAGGGCTTCTGAGAACTCGGCCAGAGTGAGAGGCAACTCTAGCCAGTCTTGGTCGCTCGTGCTGACCATAGGGAGCTCCTCCCAAAGCACTCTGCAAGTGCTAGGGTCGGTCGGATCCAGGGAGAAAAGACTTGCGTAGAAGGCTTGGGCCCTTCCGCACATCTCTGCCGGTTCCGTGACGGGGGTGCTGTCTTCTGCCAGGAGGCAGGTGACATGTTTCTTGGCCCCCCTCGTTTTCTCCAGGGCATAGAAGAAGCGGGAGCCGCGATCCATCTTCCGAAGGAGGCGGATGCAGGGTCGAACAAAGGCACCCCGGGCCCGATGGTCCTCGAGGGCCCAGAGCTCCTCCCTCTTCTTCCGGCACGCTCCGCAGAGGAGCAGGTCTTCGGGGCTGGTGGCCAAATGCCTCTCCAGCTCTAAGACCTCCCGTTCCAACTGCTCTATCGCCTCATTTCTCCGTCCGCTGGTGCCCCGGGTGTAGTCGCGGCAGAAAAGCTGGGTGTGCACCTTCCCCAGGTCTCACCATCGCCGCGCCGAGGGAAAAGCACACCGCTGCCCTCGCCAGGCCAGCCAGAATTCCCGGGAGGACGTCACAAAGCCCTCATCCTCCAACAGGCTGTTGTTAAAATGCCAATAGGCTGGCCCCGGCCTCTCCGCACAGAGGGAGGCTGTCACGGTGGCTAGGTGATGGTCAGAAAATGGGGCCAGCCAAATGCTGGAGGAGTGGGCTCGTGAGAGATGGAAGCGTGATAAATAAATGCGGCCCAACCGGGAGTGGCTCGACCGATGGGCTTCCCGCCGGACAAAGGTGAACGTGGAAGTGTCATCCGGGTGGTGGTCACGCCAGATGTCCACTAGGGAGTGATGTTCAACTATCTCCCGGAGGGTGTCCGCGGCGGCCAGGCACTGCTCGGTCCCCGAGCGGTCTCGCTCCTAGAGGGTGGTATTAAAATCCCCTTCCAGGACCAGGCACTCGTGAGAATCCAAGGTGCCGAGGAAGGCAGACGCCTGCTGATAGAATTGCAGCCGCCTCGGGCCTGATGTCGGGGCATAGACGTTAATGAGGTTAACCACGAGCTCCTCTATACGGACTTGGAGATGCAGCAGGCAACCCGGCATGGCCTCGGCGACCCCTAGCACCTCGGGCCGTAGGTCAGGGGAGAACAGGGTCGCCATTCCAGCCTGCCGAATCGTGGAAAGGCTAAAGTAGACCCTGTCCCCCCACTCCAGCCGCCAACTGTCTTCGGCGGTCGGATCCGTATGGGTCTCCTGCAGGAAAATCACAGAGTACCCTCCCTCCCGAAGGAAGGAGAGCACCTGGGACCTGCGGAGAGCCATCCTACAACCCCAGGTGTTCAACGTTGCGATGGTGAGAGGTGTCATGGGGGAGGCCGGGGGGATCCTCACTGGCAGGGACGCTCGCATCCCCCAGCGGGCCGCGCAACAGTCCTTGACCCATCCCGTAGATGAGTAATTGGTCACGGAAGACGCGGACCTGCCAGTAGGCCACGGCATCCTGCTTCCCCGTCCCTTTATCTTCCCCCATGAGGGCCCTTGTGGCCCGGAGGATTTGAAAAAAATCCCCCCATCGCTGGAGAGCAAGCTGTACCTTGTTGCGGGAGCCACGGACATCCTCTAAAAACTTCCGCAGCTCTCCTCGCAGCTCATGGGGGGGTGGGGTTACGGTTTCCCCGTTGTTCCCCGGCGGGGCGCTTGGTGCAGCCCCGTAGTCCACTAAAACGGACAAGCAGGGTGCGGACCCCCGACAGGGTGCCTGATGGGCTGGAGCTTCTAGGCCTGCCTCAAGCTCTGGGGCGATAGGGGGCGGTGGAGGGAAGATAGCAGCTCCTAATGGGTTGGGGCAGGAGAACACAAAGGCTGCTCCCTGGGGGTCATCAGTTGGGAAAGGGAAGGAGACAGCCCCGGTGGCAGCAATGACATTGCAGGAGGTAAATTGGATAGGGGCAGGGGCAGAGGCGAGGTTCTGGGTTTCGGGAGGCAAGCAGCTGGATGGTGGCGCCTCCCGATCAGACTCGAGGGTTAAGGGGGTGGAGAGGGAGCTCTCAGTGATATCGGGTGCGGGCTCTATGGTGGATTTAGCGGCCACAGCATCAGGAGGTGGATTATCTTCTGTTGGGCCCCAGCCTGGAAAGGAAATCGATTGCTCCGCACCAACGGGGGTGCCCCTGGCGACTCGTGTCCCAGCCGTGTGGCACCGGCTGTCACCTGAGCAGGCTCGGTGGTCGTCAGCAGGGTGCCATCAGCAGCCAGGTTGGTAGAGGAGTCCAAGGGCTCCTTGGAGGTGGGAGCAGAAGCAGCAGTTAGGGGGAGGGAGCATGGGGAAAAGAGGGGTGGAGTGAGGTCGCCCAAATCGAGGTTTGCTGGCAAAAGGTCGTTCTCCCCCTGGGCAACAGGGGTCAGATCTAGGGCCTCGATCTCCTCAAACATGGAGGAGAGGACACTTTCCGTCGCCCCAGGGTTCTCCCCGCTGGCACCTGCCACGACAGCTTCCTCGGGGTTCACGGGGGTTTGGGTAGTGTCAGGACAGAAGGAGCTTCCTCGAGGATCTCGGAGGGGAGGGTCGCCCGTGGAGGGGAAACACTACCTGCCGGTGCTACCACGTCTTTCCCGGCTGACACCGATGGATGGGACGCACTCGTGGGCAAAGCGGAAGGTTCGGCTTCCTGGTCTTCCGGGGGGCCTCCGCCTCAGCTAAATGAGGCGGAGCTTGAGCCTTCTGCTTGCCTCGCTTCCCCTGGACTAGGGCCCAGCCCTCCACGGCATCATCTGGGGGCTGGTTAGCAGGGGTCGTGTCAGGGGGTAAAGGCGATGGCTCAGGGACTTGGTGGGGGGACGGTGGGGCGGCATAAGGGAGGGAGGATTCTCTCCCATGCCTGGTGGTATCTCTGCCACACCCTCCTCCATAGGCCCCGCCAGATTATCAGCAGCGAGGGCGGGGGCTCTCCTGCTCGTCTGGGCGTTGTAGGGGAGGTGCCCCTGGGGCCTGAGCGGGAGAAGTGGTGGTCCGAGGGGGGGGGCGGGTTCGGGTATCGGGCGGCCAGGGGCATCGGCAATGACGGGGCCGATGTCCTGCCGGGTCTCGGGGATCCCAGGTGCCCCTCCTTGCCGGGCTAAGGGGCATTCCCTCCGGACATGCCCTGATGCCCAGCAGAGGTAGCACCGGGCTTCCCCCATGGAGAAATACACCCAGTAACGGGCCCCCTGGTGGGGGACTAGGAAGGACCCCTCGAGCGCCTCTCTGTCACATGCCGCTGACGGCAGTAGAAGCTGCACTTGCCGGCGGAAGGAAAAGATGTGATGGAGGGTGGGTTCCTTGCAGCCCAACGGGAGAGGGCTGATGACAGAAACAGGTTTCCCCAGGGTGGAGAGGGCAGGTAACAGGGCAGCATTTGGGAGAAAAGGAGGGACAGAGGTCAGGACCAGGCAGACGCCCAGGTCCTCTAGCGGCTCTAGGGGGACAACCCCCTCCCCCACCGCCAGGTCCCTCTCCACCGCCTCCTGGGCGGCAGCCTCTGATGCTAAGAAGAAGACGACCTTCCCACCACCCTTGCCAACGCCCGCACGTAGGTCTCCACGTGGGGCGAGGTGGGCACCAGGAGGCATCGGACTCCGTGCTTCCTTGTCATGGTGGGGAAGGGGCCCCGGCCCCTGTTGATGGTGGCGGAGGCGGTGGGCGGGAGAAATGACGAGGCGGCAGGCGGGGGGGCTGCCGCCGCCCAGGCATACGTCCTGGGGGGTGAGGGAGGGACACCCGCAGAGCTGGTGGAGGGAGGGACACCCACAGAGCAAGGCAGCAGGGAGGGACGCCGTGGTCGGTGGCGGGGTCACAGCAGTGGGGGTGGCCCCTGCCACGGAGGGCCTGGTGGTTTTAGCGGGGCCCTTTCCCTTCTTTTTGCCCGGGCCTTTCCCGCCGGTTGGGGGGCTCCCCTAGAGGCTGGGGAGGTGGTGGGCATGGCAGCGGTGGAGGTCCCCCCCGTGCCCTCCATTGCCGATGCCCCGGCGGTGGCGGTGGCAGGTGGTTAACAGGAGTTGGGGTCAGGTAAAAAGGGGCAGGCTGCGGGATGGGCAGTTCGGGGGGGTGGAGGGGCGGCACATGAACCACCATACGCTTGTCCAGAGAGTCCTGTTTGGTTGGCTGGTGCTTCTGGCCCACACGGTGGAATCTGGGCGAGCAACTAAGTCCAGAGGCAGATGTTAAACAGCCAGCAATGACGATGGAGGGGGCAGTGATGAGGATAGTACTGTGGGGGTTGGGAGGACACAGATGGATCGGAGGGCAGCTCCGTGCCACACCCCCTGTGTCCCTACAAACACAGTCACGACACAGTCAAGGCGTCCCCCCACACGAGAGCACAGTTCGAAAGTTACTCAGTCTTGGGCCCCCTCCACAGCGATTTGTAGATTCCCTGGGCGTTGTTCCTCCGGTAGACGGCTTTTTCTCTGTCTATTCTGGGCTTTCTTTTTTGCATTCCAGAAATGCCGGAGCAAGTGATAAGATTCCTCTCAGCCAGAGACGGGTCCGCAGACAAACAGCAAGCGGCTGGGTCTGGGGGCTGGATCCCTCCACTCCCCCCCTCCGGGGAGCAGTCCGGCAGGCCCCTCCTCTCTCGGGGGGGGGGGGTGTTTCAGCTGGAGCAGCAGCAGCATCTGAGGGCGGGGGGGGGCTAATAGCCAGCCGGCAGCCAGCCAGCACTCTAGCAACAGCAGAGAAAGAAAAAAAAACAACAAAAAGAAAAGAAAGCGGGGAGAGCATCTGGCCCGGTCGAGGGGGAAGCCAAAAGCAGGGGCAAAAAGCAAGGAAAGCCCAGGCCAGAGGGCAGCGGCAGGAGAGCAGGCTAAGTAGGTCCCTTTTCCCTGGATAAGGTAACAGGGAAGGTTTTTTTTTTTTTTTTTTTTTGAAACAAAAAGAAAGTTTATTGGTAACGCTTACAGAATTACCAAAGGAAACAAAACAACTATGCAACAAAACAACGCAATCAGAAGGTATAACACAGCAGCTTTCAGGAGGGAGAAGTGTTCAGGCTAGCCTGGGCCCAGAGCGGGGGGGCTTCCTCGACACTCGTGGTCTTCCACCCTCCTGAGTTACCTGGTGGCCTAGAGTGGGGGGGCTTCCTCGACACTCGTGGTCTTCCACCCCCTCGAGTTACCCAGTGCCGCGCCCAGTGTCACCGATCCTCCCTCTCCTGAGAGTGCCCGGTAAGATGGGCACGGCTGCGGGGTGGGCGGTTTGGGGGGGGGGTTGACACACATGTATTATAGGACCCCTCCTAGATGACAGGAATGATGGTATCCACAGCGGCAACGGCTGGGGCTGGCGTCTCTCGCTCTTCCCCTCAATCAAAGGGTCAGACGGAGGGAACCGGATGGGGTCACCGAGCAGAGAACCCCAGACAGCGCCCACCACTTCTCGAAGGCGTCAAGGGAGTCGGTGGATGCCGCCCAGAGGAACTCCGCCCGGATACGTGAATGTACTGAGGATCGGAAAACGGCCCCACAATCGCAGGACGTTTCATGGGCCAACCTCCTCTCTCTGGTTTTATAAATGGCTGTTTTAGCCAAAGCTAGGAGGAGGTTGACCAGAAGATCCTGTGACCTTGTGGGGCCACGGATGGGAAGTGTATAGATAAAAAGGTGGGGGGAAAAATGAAGCCAGAAGCATAATAAAATATTTGTGAGGAGCCGGAAAAGGGGCTGCAATCTGGCACACTCTAAATACACGTGCG